GGCCCACCCTGCAGCCCCCACATGTGAGTAAAATCCATCCCCTTCTTTGTCCGAGGAGTCAGATGGACACTCGAGGTGGGAGCTCTGTGTCCCTTCTTAAGGCACGGAGCCCCACAAAAGGCCTGTGTTTGAACTGCTTGGGTCTCGGCTCCAGTCTGGTTTCGTCACCTCTGGGACCCGGTTGGATGTTATGCCCTGTGTTGAAACTGCTCTCAGGGGTGCTGGTCAGAGGCTGTGGGTCCTTGGGGAGCTGGGCCTGACAGGCCTCAGGAGGTCAGGACGAGCCCTGGAGAGAGGCTGTGGCCTGCCTGCCCCTCCCTGCTTCCTGGCACCAGGTGTGAGCACTCGCTGGACAGGGGTTTAATGGCAGTATTCTGCCGTTGCCAGATGTCAAGCCATTGGACTGGTGGCCTTGGACTTGAAAATCACGAGTAGCCTGTGTCTGGCATATCCTTATCGTGACATGGACCTGACATGCCACAAGGCCAGGGTGACATCTTCCCCACCTGACACTGACCATCTGGTCAGCAGGCTCCTGACTTGGGCCAAGACCTCTGGCCAGACGGGCTGCAGGTTGCCAAGGGGCTTCCTGACCAGACCCTGGTTGGCCAGGTCAGCCCCACTGTGGATGTTGGCTGTGAGGCCTGCAGCCCCCAGCACCTGGTGCCCTGGGGCTTGTCCTGTTGCCTGAGCAGCAGCCAACCTGCTCTTCACCCTGCCACCCGCTGGGGCCTCTGCTGCCATGCTGTGGAGGCCATGAGCAAGTGCAGGACACGGCCCATCCCATGTAGGGAAAGGCCCAGGCAGGGGTGGCTTCACCCAGAGTAGCCAGCAAGGGGGCCTTAGAGCAGGCTGGGCAAAAGGAACCCCAGCCTCCAGGCAAGGCTGCCCGAGCTCAGCCCTTGCAGGGGACTGGTATGGCCGGAGCAGTGGCGAGTAGGGGTGTGCAGGGAGGGTCTCCCTCACACTTCAGAATCAGCCTCCACTGAGAAGCAACATGGGGTGGTTGCTAACTCAGGGAACAGCAGCCAGCACCCTGCGCCGCACCTGAGCTGAGCTCAGTGGGAAAGGCTGCAATTGCAAGCTCCCTGCAGGGGCGCCGTGGCCCTCCCCTTCCGGTATTCCCATAGAAGCCCACACAGCAGGAAAGCACTGCACAAGAGCAGATCAGCAGCTTCCAGCCACGGGCATCAGGGTGAAAGCAGGGAGACAGGGACACCAGTCCTGTGGGTGGAAGTGGCAGGCAGGAACGGTGTCCTGGGGATGTGTGCCAGGCATGTCCGGTGGACAGACGTCCTGGTTTTAGTCCTGTGTGACTCATCTGGGCTTTGATGATATTCTTGGAGAGGGCCTGCCTGGGTCCCTCCACCCTTTCAGTCCCTTTTATCCATAACCTACTTCCCCTAGTTCCGCCACCTCCCCCTCCTCCGGGGAAGCTCCTGCTACCTGAGGAGCTCCCCGAGGGCGTAACTGGCCAGGCTGTAGGCTGCACTTTCTCCCCATGCGGGGGGGGGGGGGGGGGGGGGGGGGGCTGGGAGTCCAATGCAGATGTGGAAACTGAGGGTTTGGCAGAGGCTCGGGCTGTAAAATGGCAGGTTGACCCTGCGCCTCCCATGCTCAAGGTCACCCTGCTGATGGCCCAATCCCCAGACCTCAGGTGCTGCAGGAGGGTCTGAGGCTGATCTGCGTGATGGAGCTAACCGCCAACCTTCAGTGTGAGCGCTGCCTGGCCTGAGCTCACCTGTGAGGCAAGGTGCACCCCAGGAGGGAGCAGAGGGGCAAGAGACTCACACCTTCCCTTTACGGAGGGGGGCGGGGGCTGCTGTGCCCTCTAGCTTGGGACCAGGGATTCCAGGTGCCAATTTCCTCATTACTTTCTTGTCTGTTGACATGCACATCGGCCTCCACCTTGCTTCCTGGTAACCAGTGGTCCTGGTGCACAGTCAGCCCTTAACAGTACTTGTTAAGCAGGACACAGGTTGTTAGGCTAGCTGAGCCAGAGCTGTGTCAGTCCTGAGTATCATCTGGGTTTTTTTTTTTTTTTTGGAGTGGGAGGGTATTGGGGATTGCATACCAGGTGCTCAACCACTGAGCCACATCCATATTAGAGTCAGGGTCTCACAGAGTTGCTTAGGGCCTTGCTGAGTTGCTGAGCCTGGCTTTGAACTTGCAATCCTCCTGCCTCAGCCTCCTGAGCCACTGGGGCTACAAGCCTGCGCCACTGCACCTAGCTATCCAAGTCTTGTTCTTAGCAACTGAGAAGCACACTGGTTATCTGGGCATTAGGTGAAGACACACAGGAATGCCTGCATCTGGGGACCCTAGCTGCAGCCTCATGCCCATGTGCTCCACAAAGTGTGGGCCAGAGATGCCTGGGCCAGGTGGCTGGACCTGTCAGGGAACCTGGGAGAGTACCCAGGTGGCAAGTCTACTGCTGCAGAGGGAGGGGCTCTGCCTCCTACCAACATCTGAAAGAAATTCCTCACCAGCAAGCTCTGAGGCTGGAAAGCCAGAGACGACCAGTGCCACTGCAGACGCCCAGCCTGTGGTCCTTCTGCCTGTCTCCCGGCTGCCAAAGATGAGCAGACTCAAAACAGCAAAGTGAAAAAAGGAAGTTAATGTGACAAAAAGGCAAATCTTTCTTAATGTATGAAGAGCTGCTTTAATTCAAGAAAACAATGAAAATCACAAGTGGCCGGAGCCAAGAGAAGAGCCAGTACTGAGAAGGGGTGCGCCCCAGCTGTGTTCTAACTCCACGCAGACTTAGGACTCCAGCCTCCTGTTTAGGGGATTGTGTGGACAGAGGCCAGTGCCCTGCACAGGCCCCCTGCAGCACAGAAGCCACTGTTCCCAGAGACCTGGGATGGGTGCTGCTCTTCACTTGACACCCTTCACTTTCCACATACCTGGACTTCTAGAGCGTATTTGTTTTACACCTGGTTAGTTTTATGGGGATGGACCAGGGACTTACGCATGCTCTGCAAGACACCAGGCACAGTGGCCCACGCCTATAATCCCAGTGGCTTGGAGGCTGAGATAGAAGGCCACAAATTCAAAGCCAGCCTCAGCAATGGCAAGGTGCTAAGAAACCCAGTAAGATACTGTCTCAATGGGGATTGGGGATGTGGCTCAGTGGTTGAATCCTGGGTACTGGGATTGAACTGAGGCTGAGGCAGGAGAATCACAAAAAAAGGTGTGTGTGTGTGTGTGTGTGTGTGTGTGTGTGTGCGCGCGCACGCGCGCGGGGGGGGGTGTGCTAGGGATGTGGCTCAATGGTTAAGTGCCCCTAGGTTCAATACCAGGTACAATAAAAGATAAAAGACTTATCCAGAAACCATAAAAGAAAAAATAAATTCAAGTACTCACGAAAAACTACCATTGAGAAGGGAAACATCAGCCCTACATATTTAAAATTATCTACTTCTACTCTGTGTTAAACCAAGTGGAAAAACCCCCAAATAACCTACTGTAACTAGTTTCCAAAGAACTGGAAAAGAGCATTCATTTTAACAAAACAACTATACAATATCTAGATTAAAAATAAACTTGTGGTGGTATGGGTGACACGAGTTCATTTGGAACTGCACATCTCCCTCCAAATTAAAAACTACTGCATAATTTTAAAGTATTAAGAAAACGGAAAACTCATTAAAATAATTCCTAATGTCTTCCCAAAAAAGCAAAATAGAGAAATCCAAATTCCAAACAAACCAGTGCATGTCAACAGGAAATGGGCAAAGAACATGAAACTGTAAAATGTGCTCCACTCATACATGTAAATCAAATTCTTCAGAACCTTTTCTAGTTTCCCATACTGCAAAAGCAGAGTGCACACACCCAGTGGCGGCCACACCCAACTGCTGTTTTGCCAGGACAAAGCCACACTGCCACCTGTTCTCCACAGAGGCACACACCCACTGGCTGATTCCTACCCAGCTGCAACATGAATGGGGTATCTGCTACGCTGGGGACCAAATATCTACAACAGCACTGTGTGCTTTGTAGTCCCCATCTTGGGAGTGTGGCCCAGCAATCAAGGCCTTGTCCAGGGACCTTCAGCTAGCCTGAGGGCTCTCCAAACTCAGTCCCTTGGGGGTGGGGGAGGAGCACTTAGTGCCCTCCAGTAAGCCCCCTAACCTGTCATGCATCTACCGCTTCACAGGGACTTACATGTCAATCATAAATGTCCACACTTAACAGGAACACCAAGGGACCATTCCCCAGGGGCAGAAATATAAGGGCCACCCTAGAATCCAGCTCAGGTGTGCTAAACGGAGTCCTGCTGGTCAGTGCTGCTTCCTTAGGTGGGCGCAACTCAGTGGCCACAATGTTCAACCCAGTCCTCACCCATGACCAAGGACTGCAGGGTCAGAGCCCTTGCAGAGGACACACTTTCTAATCCCTCCAGCTAGAGACTAGAGGATGCAAGTTCATCTGTAAATTGGAGCCGACAAGCACTCAAATGGCAGGACACGTGTACCAGCTACGTGACTGCCTTTTGTCTTAGGGCACCCACTTACCTGCTGGTAGGAGAGGACTCCTGACCCCAGAGAACCCTCAAGTCTCTCCTTTCCAACTACCCACCCCTACCTCCATCAAGCACTTCAGATACGACTCTCATTCCGGAGGGTTCTGCTGGGGGCCGCTGCAGCGGGTGAGGTATGCCCAGGGACAGCAGCTACTTCCTCCCTACCCTCCCCACCAGACAGTATACAGTAGGCACCTTACTACAAGAACTCCTTGGGGACAGGGACAGGCATCTCCAGGAAGGACCTTTGCTTGACAGGACCTGCAGACTGGTTAGAACCTGCAGCCAGGAACCACCCTAACCTCCTAGGAACACAGCTACCTGGAATACCGCTTCATTCTCAGGCGCAGGGGTATACAGCCTCCAAAGCACAGGCTGTCACTGCTGACACACGTGGTCTATCACCCCTTACCTGCAGGCTGGAAGCATCCCATAAGGAATATTGGGTGTATCCAGGCAAGAAACACCAGGGTTCAGTCAAGAAAGCTGTATCTGAGGTTGTTAGAGCTACAGTTAGGGACATAGGCAGATAAGGGCCCACCTTCAAGGTGGGCGGTGAACACCCTCACCCTGGTGGCAATCCAGCCATGGAGCAAGGACAGTTTCAGAACATTTTAGGGACAGCAAGATGGCAAAAAGGATCCAGGCACAATTCAAATCACCAAACCAAATCCTGAGATGAAATGCAAGCTCTGGGAGGCTGGTGAGAGCCCTGGCAGCACACCCAACAAATCTGGCCCAGCACAGTTGGCCACTGCATGTGGAGGCAGAGCACAGAGCCCCAGCTTTAGCTTCATGGAGAGCATTTATTACAAGACCCCACAGTGCTTTATTTTTTCTTTTCGACATCCTGTTCTGCAGCTTCCTTGGCCCTTTTTGCCCTGATGCCAAAGAGCCGGGCGTTGGCGCGAGCCATGCGGAGACTGGCAAATGCTTTGAAGTTCTTCTCCTCTTCGGTGATGACTCTGGCTTTCTCCTTCTTGTACACCTGGGAGGGAGGACAGGATTAGGCTGATACCTTGGGCTGTGTGGCATTGCCCCCAACCAAACCAGTGAGAAGTCCAAAGGAAGCCAGGCAAACCTGCCTTGGCACCACCAGGAAGAGACAGACTATCCTCTTTGGAGGTGAGGAAGTCTCCCCATAGCCAGGCATGGCAGTACACACCCAAAGCCCCAGCTTCTCAGAAGGCTGAGGTGAAAGCGTCAAGAGTTTGAGGCCAGATGGGCAACTCAGCACCCACCAGAATCAACAAAAATAAAGCAGCAGGCAAATATTAAGAGAGAAAGTCTCTCCCCTTACTTTTTACCTTTTTCTTTTTTTGGTGGGTGGAGGGAGGGACCAGGGATTGAACTCAGGGGCACTCGACCACTGTGAGGCCCTGGGCTTGATCCAACACCACATAAACTTAGCAAGGCCTTAAGTAATTCAGTGAGACCCTGTCTCTAAATAATATACAAAAAAAGGGCTGGAGATGTGGCTCAGTGTTAAGTGTCTGAGTTCGATCCCTGATGCAAAACAAAGGTGGCTATGGTGGTATGTGCCTGTGAACCCAGTGATGCAGGCAGAGATAGCCTTGGGCTCAATCCTCAAGGACGCAAACATAAAAAATAAAAGATAAAAATCAAAGCTAGGAATAATGACCCATACATACAATCCCAGCTATTCAGAAAGCCAAGGCAGGAAGACTATTAAGTTTGAGGCCAGCCTGGACAATTTAGGGAGACCCTGTCACTCATTCATAAATAAATAAAAATGAATTAATGGCCAGGGGCATACAACTCACAAAGTGAGTGCCTAGCATGCACAAGACCCTGAGTTTGGCAAATCAACCAAACTACGTATAAGATTTCAAGAGGAAAAACAATGCTGGGCACAGTTGTGCACACCTGCCATCTCAGCAACTTGAGAGGCTGAGGCAGGAGGATCCCAAGTTCAAGGCCAGCCTCAGCAACTTAGCAGGATCCCATTTCAACATCCACCTCAGACTTAAGTCCCCAGAGAGTCTACAAAAGGGATGCTGTTAAGTAAGCAGATGCTGCTGTGGGACTGGAGGACAAAGAACCCCCACCTCCAGACACTTGCTGGGCAGGCCACAGGAACATAAGACCACCAGCATTCCCAGAGGGCTGCCTGCAGACTGGCTTCCAAACAGCAGCGAGCGGGCATGTCACTGTGTGTCACATGCAGGGTTCTTAGATATTGTTTGTAAAGTTTATTCTGGTTAATTTGTCATGCAAAGGTTGAAGTCCGCTTTTTCCTACTTTTGATGTTTCCCTTAGAGTACTACTATTTGCAAAAAAAATTTTTTTTGGTACTAGGGATTAAATCCAGAGGTGCTTAACCACCGGAACCACATCCTCAGACCTTTTTCAATTTTTGAGACAGTCTCTCACTAGGTTGCTTACAGTCTTGCTAAACTGCTGAGGCTGGCCTTGAACCTGCAATCCTCCTGCCTCAACCTCCTGAGCCGCTGGGATTATAGGCATGCACCATCACGCCCGGCAAGTCTCCTGTAAATAATTCCTACAGATAATTTTTATTTTACTTAGAATAAATGTTTTAATTAGAATATATTTTTGAAACTTGCAGGCTTGCAGCGGGGAGATCAAGGGAGTGTCAACAAGACTTCTGAAAGGTGGGACAAGGCCATTCATTCAAGAGGCCCCGACTTTCCCGAGGGCTTAAGAACCTCCCTTCCCACAACCTAAAAACCTGAGCTAAAAAGCCACCTTTCAACCAGGTATCTGTCCCACCCAAGGTTTCGCCTGTCAACCTCTAGAACAACACCTAAGCAAACCAAGCATCTACTTACGTTGCGGATGGGCATCACTGGTCCTGTTAGCTGGGTGGCCAGTTTGAGTTCTTCAGCCTGTGTGGAGTAAGACTGAAGTGAGTCCAGCTCCACTTTACCTAAGTGTCACAATATCCTGAGCCCTTATGTGACCAGTCATTAGAGATAAAACAGGCTCAGATCAATGCTCCCCTGGTCCTGAGCACCCAGAATGGGAGCAGAGCAAACCATTCCCTAATGCAACCTCCATGAAAGCCCACAAAGATGGACACTGCTGATTGTATCCTCTAAGCCTCCTAGGAACACCTCTGGACAAAATGCATCTGAGCAAGGCCAGCAGGCTCCAAGTCCACAGCACTGTCAGCTGCCGCTGCCAGCAGACAGAAGAGCTTGGCTCAAGACCACAGCAGGGCACCTTGGCAGTTGGTTAGCCCAAGAGTCCTCACCATCGACCACACTGCCCACACATAATGGCAAGGTTCTGGAGAATATGAAGGCTCCAGGCACAGAGAACATTCGACCTGAACCTTGCCTCTCAGCTCCCAGCCTTCCTACTTCCCCGCAGCGGTACTCACAGAGCTGTCTCCCTTCTTGGGGGCGGAGGGCTTCCTGGGGAAGAGGATGAGTTTGGAGCGATACTCCTTCAGCCGCTGCACGTTGGCCTGCAGGGACTCGGTGGATTTGTTCCGCCTCCTGGGGTCCACCGAGATGCCAATAGTCCGGGCCACCTTCTTGTGGATGCCTGCCACCTGCACCAAAAGCAGGCACGGATGAAGGCCCACGGAGCCCTCCCCCACGGGGCCCCAACAAACGCTCAGCCGTCAGATGGAAAAGGGTTCAAGTGTACTTTCATCACGGCAGTACAGCGATTCCGGAGAATGTCATCACTTGGCTGGGACCCACGAGGGCCGGACCCGCGGCCCGCGCCGCTTCCCGCACTCACCCTCAACTCCTCCAGGCTGAAGCCCCTGCCAGCTCGGACTTTGGTGTGATACCGCACCGTGGGGCACCTCACTATGGGCCGGATGGGTCCCGACGCAGGGCGCGGCGCGATGCGGCGCGCTTTGGCTTGCCGGGCCTTGCGCCTGCGGGGAGAGAAGCCGGGCGGAGGTCACCTCCACTCCGCGACGAGGGGGCGGCGTGCCCCAATTGGCGCCCCACCGCCCCGCCCCGGGTACCCACGCGCCCGCCACGCACCTGCGGATCTTCCGGGCCGGGGCGGCTGGTTGAACCACGTGGCCACGCGCCGCTGCCAGTCCTTGTGGAAGTGGGGCTTCAGGATCATGCCATTCCGGCTGGGCGCCATGGCTGCCTACGGCCTCGAGGGGAGAAGGGCGCCGAGTGAGGGCCGGAGCCTGGCCGCGCGCCCTGGGCCCCCACCCCAGGTCCTCCCTCCTGGGTCCCAGGCCGACGCCGCCGGCGGCAACAAAGAAGCCTATCCATGGCCGCGCGGGCGGCTGCGAGGGGCTGATGGCGGAGGATGGAATCTGATGGCAGCAGAGGGACGAACTCACCTCTTGCGGGGAATCGGAGGGCGGAAAGGAAGTAGCGCCGCAAAGCACTCTGGGGTGGTAGTGTATCCGACCAATCAGAAGGGCCGGAACGCTTCGCCCAATCAGAGCCGGGAGGAAATGGACGTCACGGGCGCCCCTCCGGGCTACCAGCGCGCCGCCGGCTGGTGCCCCGGCCGCGGTGGGTACCGGTGCCCGCGCTCCGGCCGTCCCGCGCTAAGGGAAGGCTAGAGTGGTGGCGGTTTTGCTGCTGGGACGCGGTGCGTCAGCGGCACAGAGGCAGGAAACCCTTAAGGACCTGCGGAGTGGGGCTCAGCTCAGTAGGGCGCTTGCCTGGCATGTGCATCCCCAGCACCAGAAACCATCCAACAACTTGAGAACTCGAGCCGTAAGCCCTTAGACCTCCTTGGCCCAGCGCTGGTTCCCTTGTCCTTCGACATCCCATTGGAACATTTATGCCTCTTTCTCTAGGTGAAACTTTTAGTGGGTTTTTGTACAAAGTGGCATTCAGTACTCAAACGTGCATTTGCTCATTTAACCCGCATAACACAAGTGAGCCACCGTTGACCTTAGGTCCCAGGTTAAGGTAACTTCTCTAAGAACAGGCGTGGCGAGTTGCAAATATGGAGCCAATAGCACAATGCCTGAGACCCCAAGAGCTGAGGCAGGCGCATCACAAGATCGGAGCATCTTAGCAAGACTCTGTCTCAGAATAAAAGAATGTGCTTAGCATGCGCAAGGCATTGAGTTCCATCAAGAACACAGATAACTAGGTCTCGGGAATGTAGCTCAGTGGTGGAGCGCCCTGAGTTCAATCCCTGGTACCATGGAGCAGCGAGGGATAAATACTTGTGTTAAAGCCAGTTAGGTGACAATTTCTGCTCCCCAACATGTTGAAGTTTGAACATTAGAGAAGCTCGCCAAGGCAAGCGTATAAAGCATGCTTTATTTAAAAAGCGGTAAGGTAGACTTCTACTGTGGGGGAGAAGGGGGTCATAGCTGTGTTACCGCTGTTGGCCGGTGACAAGTCCTTGCTTCCCCGATGTTGAAGAATAACACCAGAAAAGTACAGGCGCAGGCAAGGTCGGAGTAGAAATTAGAAGTTTATTAAAGGACAGCAGAAAAGACTTCTTCCGGAGGAAGAAGGGGACCCAAGAGGTGGAATCCGTTGGCGGGCAACAGCGATAACAGCTGGTATCCCAAGAAGCAAGGTGTTCTGCCCTATTTAGATGTCCTAGGCTTCCTTTGTTCTTCTGCCCTCTTCCCCTTATCTTTTCCCTCCTGTGCTCCTGTCTAGGCCCAGGAATGCTAGGTGGGCTGGCCAGTAGGTGGGAAACCGGTGGGCTGAAGGGGGAAGGTCAGGATGGTGCAACCCAGGACAAGTGAACCACCTTATAGCTCCCTATAGGGAGGGGTAATTCCTGGGACAGATTACCTTAGCAACAGTTGGAGCATGGGCAGGTTCTTGATAAGGGTGGAGAAAGGCCTCTGAAGGAAATAACATTTCAATCCCTCAGGGGACTGTCTCCAATTTCTCCGGACTCACTCAAAATTGACCTGACCTGATTTACCTATCTGACTGCCTGTCTAATTCTGGCTTTACTTGTCCTATGCCTACCTGACCTCCATTCAGGACAAATCTGAAGTTATAACACTCCGATACTATTTGTAAACTTTTACATCCCAATAACCTTTTTCTTTCTCACCCTATCTCTATCCACCAAGCTTTGACCTGGTAAAAATCAACATTTTAGAAATTTTATTACATAATATAAGGAATCTGTAGGCTTGTGTCCTACACTGAATAAAGAGGTTGCATGCAATATTATATATATATAAATATATATATATATACTTTTTTTTTTTTTAGACAGGTCCTCAGTAAGTTAGTTAGGGTCTCCTCCCTAAATTGCTGGGGCTAGCCTGGCACTTGTGATCCTCCTCCCTCAGCCTCCCCAATCACTGGAATGTATCTACATTTTGAAACATCCTTCAATCTTAGAAAAAACAAGTTGCTAGGCACTGAGGGATTACAGACTTAATGACCAGGAGGAGGGAACATGCAAAGAGGACACAACAACCTACAAGGGAAGTTCAAACCCTAGTTCTGCTGTTTAGTAGGTGTGTGCTCAGTTATGAAACAAGGGCAAGGCCAGCCCTGATTCCTGCACAATTCTTTGCAGATGCAAAGCTGTAAATGAAAGCACTCCTCAATAAACGTATAACCAGTATCCATCTGTGAAGTCAGTGTGTAAGGCCTCTCTAGTCTTCCATTCTTCACAACAGTTGGGTCCACAAGTCGTAGGAGTTTCAGGTGTAGTGCTGCCTGAACTCCACCTCTGTACTAGTGTTGAGACTTGGGCATTATGTTTTTCCACTCTGTGAAGTAGGAAATGCTGGGAGGTAAGCTGTGTTACAGCCACAGAACACCGAAAGGGGCCAGTCAGTGAGAACTAGTTGTATTATGGGCCAGGCTGTATGGGCAGTGACCAAACAGACTCCATTTACCCTGAGACTCCATGTCATATAAGAGATGCTTCTCCTATAGGAATACTCCGCCTCTGTACCCATCAATAGTTGCATAGCATGTTTGGCAACACAAAGTGGCAATTCTCATACAATGTAAATTATTCTCTCTTTGGTTCCCATTTTTCTTGGACAACGTACGCTGTCAGAGATTGATTGTCTAGACGTTAGTAACCATGCTCTAACTTGTACTCAACTAGGATCATATTGACCTATTTCACTTCTGCTTGCTTACTGCTATGTCAACCTGGACAGTCCCATGGGAAATACCAGTGTACCCATTGCATTGTTTCCCTAACTGCTCACTTCAGCTGCTGTACCCCTGCTTGCTTGCAGCTACATCAACTTGAATGTGGTTTTTGCAGTTTTTGCCTTTAAAGACCTTGAAATGCTTAGGCTCAAGACTGTTCCTTTTGGAGACTGACCATTATGGGTCCTACTGGGAGCAGTGGCTGGCCAGCTACCTAAATACTCTCCAATTCAGACAAAATAGACTTAGTGTGTTTTCTGAGCAGTCTGCCCCATAACAGCTGGTGCAGTGGCTTTGCATCCAGGAGACATGGTAGAATCCATGGTGGTCAAGGGCCTTCACCAGAGCAGAAGTGTGGAGGAAACAAGAACATGTCTTTCCTCAGTCTTCACCCAAAACTTTGGAAAACCCTACTGCCCTCCCTCACCATCACTCTGCTGGAATTGGGAATCGAACCCACACTGTTCTGGAGGTATAACCACAGCAGAAGAAGTTTGGAGAAAGTGTTTGTGAGTGAACATTTGTCTTGACCTGGGACAGATTCCCGTGGGCATACCAGTGGGCCTACCAGTTGCTTTCCATGTCTTCAGGCCTTTTTGATACTCCCACTATGGACCTGGCTCTTCCTTCTGGGCTTTTTTTTTTTTTGGTAGCAAGGAAGGAACCCATGGACACTACCACTGAGCTTCACCCCCAACCCTTTTTATTTATTTATTTTTATTTACTTATTTATTTTGGAGGGGGGTACTGAGAATTTAACTCAGGGGAACTTGACCTTTGAGCCAGATTCCTAGCCCTATTTTCCCTTTTTTTAAAAAAATATCTTTTTTTTAAAAGTATTTCTTAGTTGTAGTTGGACACAATACCTTATTTTATTTCTTTACTTATTTTTAGTGGTGCTGAGGATTGAATCCAGTGCCTCGCATGTGCTAGGGGAATGCTCTACCACTAAGCCCCAGCCACATCCCCGCCCCCCGCCCTATTTTCTATTTTTATTTAGAGACAGGGTCTCACTGAGTTGCTTAGTACCTCGCTTTTTTAAAAAAATATTTATTTTTTGGTTGTAGTTGGACACAATATCTTTATTTTATTTTTATGTGGTGCTAAGGATCGAACCAAGAGCCTTGCACGTGCTAGGCGAGCACTCTATTGCTGAGCCACAATTCCAGCCTCAGAACCTCACTTTATTTTTTAGTTTTCGGTGGACACAACATCTTTCTTTGTATGTGGTGCTGAGGATCGAACCAGGCTGCATGCATGGCCAGGTGAGCACACTACTGCTTTAGCCACATCCCCAGCCCCTATATATATATGTTTGTGACATACATATTTATATATATTTTTAGATGGACACGTAGCTTTATTTATTTATTTATTTTTAGGTGGTGCTGAGGATTGAACCTAGCAACAAACACATGCTGGGAGAATCCTCTACCACTGAGCCACAAACCCAGCCCTAAAGTTGTGATTTGGAGACTGCTCTGCTGCACAAAACCAAAATGGAAACAGATTCTTGCATTTTATTATTATTATTATTATTATTATTTGTTTTGTTACTGAGAATTAAATCCAAGGGCACTTAACCACTGAGCCACATCCCCAGCCCTATTTTGTACTTTATTTAGAGACTGGGTCTCCTGAGTTGCTTAGTGCCTTGCCATTGCTGGGGCTGGCTTTGAACTCAAGATCCTCTTGTCTCAGCCTCCTCAGCCACTAGGATTATAGGTGTATGCTATCATGCCCAGCCCAAAATGGACATAGAATCCAACTTTTTGAAGCCCGAACATTCCTGATTTCCTATGTATGTAAAATTGAGGGGCAAAGAAAAGTTCTGATATGAAATTCTGCTGAAAATATAGTGTTGTCACTGGGAACAATTAAGAAATGAACAGTTGTGCAGATTTGGCTGGCATTTTTTTTTAACATTTTAACTATAGAAACAGACCCAGTCCCCTGGCATAGAATTATGTAGACATGTCTCTGCCCAAGAATTTATGTCCTGGGTGTGGGCCTTGACTAAGGAGGTCAGGAA